TAGATCTGCCTTGCAATCCAAGTGGTTTGGAACGAAATTGAATATTCTTAAAATTTCATACTATTTTATTTGTTATAAATTGGACTTTAATATGTAATACAATATAATGTACTATTACAATTGTTAGACGTAGTAAATTCCTTTGGGTTTCTGAAATGCGTTTGGAATCTTGTGTGTGGTTAGGTTTGGTGTCGGAATGAAGGTAGATTGGAATCTCCCAGGAGTATGCTATTCCGATAATTTACGTACTACTTTCGAATGCATCATGTTAACTGTAAATCAATAAATTCACAAGACAGTAATACATTAAACACTGTGTTTTAATTAGCATATACTGTAAACAGTAAAATGTTATCGTGTGCGTTTCGATAACGATAACTTGGAAACTGGGGTTAAAAAACAATATAGTTTTCATCGGAAGAAATACTTTGAGCTTTACTTAGTATTCACTGTATATAATCGCCATGATGAAGAGACGCCATAAATCTACAATCGCGGTATGCTGGTGTTTTTATACTCAGATAGCAATAAAATAATATTATCCGAGGTCTATATTACGAGTTGCTTGCCAATCCTTCTAGTCTCTAAAACTATACAATGCTCCGGTAACTCATGACATAAAAAAAGTTTTATATTGTATTGGAACGTTCTGGAGATATTTATATTAATTCACACACACACACACACACACACAAACAGTTCGTGGCTTAGGATAGTAAGATGGAAATTTGTTAAACTTTTTCATACATGGGACTGTGGTAAAAAAAATGCGATGCAAAGAATGGCATAATTACAGGCTATAAGATGTAATAATATGTTTTTACTATTACATAGCAACCATCGGAGAGGAATAAAAAAGGGTTACAATTGAGATAACAGCAAATACACAAAATCCAGTTTAAAAATTAAGAATAATGTAATGTTCACGTAACGACAACGTCACAATATGTATATATAGAGGCATACAAACATGTATCGGTGTGTAAGCAAACCATTGTAAATAAGTTTTTTCTGTCTACTTGATTGCCCTTTTTAATAAATAGCTATTTACAAATATATTTTGATGGGAAATAGACTAGACTAGCTCTGCATGAGCTAATTTCTGTTTCCCAGCCATAGATTAATATTATTATTATTTATCAATATTTATTAGTTATTATTTATTGCTGTATTGTTATTTTTTTTATGTAATCTATGGCAAATAAACATTATTATTATTATTATTATTACATATACTACAGCTGATAACTATATATATACTTGACACGAGACTCATTCCATATGATGCAGACCAGCCTTCGACTCTGTAGATGTCAAATGACTGTTGGATCAATAGTTTTCTTGGAATTGCAAGCTCAATACTTCAGTTTACGCCTGAGGTCATATTCTCCACGTAGTACGTGGCTGTATCGACTGCGCTGGTCATGTACCAGTACATACGCAATGTAACTGTTGACCTCGACAGTGCTAATTTTCGCAATACTGATGTTATAACAGGCTCAGTGGATACTATGCGGTTATTACGAGGATACCTCAAAGTATGCACGAAGACAGTACAACGGCAGTATCGACCGACGCGCAGCGGAGTTCGATGCGACGACGTACTGTCTTCGTGCATACTTTGAGGCATTCTCGTAATAACCTTATTATTATACATCTTTTCCTTCCAAGGATACATCATGGGAATGCCGAAATCCAAAATGTTTAGAACAGAATCAGAGAACTTCTTTGTGTGGAGTCCGGTGACAGTCAAACCCTGGTGGCAGTCATGTTTGTTTTTATTATTAGAGGACGCGTACGCGCGTAATCATTCCATATTTTGAATTCGCATTTTCTTATATGGTAGGATGAAAATATCCCGTAAAATACCGCAAAATTACGGCACTTATGGCGTTACGGTGATAGATGTATAATAATAATAGTATATATGTCGATACATCACTTATCTAAATTAACCCATACACGCGCTTTTTATTGTGAAATGACTGTAAGATTCACACCTATCACGTTCAAATGTCATGATGTGGATATATTGGTACTCAACGTGTAATTAACCTTCAGTGTGTCGTTGAAAAGAACGTACGTAACGTAAAGTATAGTACACAATCCGATCTAGTAAAAATGATAATCCGTTCGTCTATCGTGAATGGAAAAATATAGGGGACAAACCATTTTGTAATGGTTAGTGAGCGGCATTTATGATGCTTTTATAGTTGTATATATATATTCTAATTTGGTGCGTTGGGTGAAAACTTAATTACGTTTTTTTTTTTGAAATCGGTTATTTATCTCTCGGGTGGTTTTACCAAACTGCAGCAACTTAGGGAAACGCGCACTGCAGCATAACCACACCATGCATCGATCGATGTTACCCTAAATATTGCTCAGTCGGAATTTGGTTTATCAGTGCCGAATTTAGATTGTCGTGACTGGGATAAGTGTACAACACTTCAATACGGTTAATGAGCGGTATATATTCATATGCACGTGGGCGGGGGAGGGGATTGTTAATACATGCGCTATTACCGTGGAACTATTTCTTGATAGAGTTCGTGACGCGGTCGTTCATTGAGTGTAAAACGTATGTCACATGTATTCACTGCTTATTAATTTACATCCATCTGGAGGACCCTGCTGTTTGTACTTTCAAACACAATTATCGAGTTGGTATCGCTGAAAACACCCTGAAAAAAAGACGCAACTGATGATGATATTTATAACAATTCTCATACAAAATCCTAAGCCCAACTTTATTATGATATTTTTCTTAAAAAGAAAAACATTTTTAAACGTCGCATATCTGACTGAATCGACTGAAAATGCACTAATTATTATTTTTGGAATATTCTACATATTTTTGTTTTCTTTAATAGTATTTAAATAGTAGTGACGTACAGTTGTTTTGTGTCCGGCTGTGCGCAACGGAGATCATGTGATACACAGGGTCCTTGGTATATTGAAAAGGAGGAGGAAGTGACGTAGTTTTTCTCCCTGGAAGTTTAATTATATTATAATTATTATACCACATTTCCGACAGATACGTGTTAAAATACAGTCGAAATAAATATTGTAAAAAGTCACAGTCGTTGCTCCGCGTCGTGTGCAACGTGGGTCCCACGCAGCGTTCTACATACTAGTAATAATTCGAATGCGCGATGCAAGACGACGATGGCACAATCACCCCTGATCGAAGCTGTTGGTTTAAACAAATATTATTGATATATTAAGAATTACGTAAGAAGATAAAGAAGAAGAACTTAAAAAAAATAAAAACGCAACAACATGAACACGAGTGTGTACACGAGTTGTTATGATATATAATATATACCCGTCACTCCATAGTCTAATCGTGGTTATATATTACATTACAGGGGTTAGTAAATTTTAATACTCGCATCACCGTAAATATCTAATTTTGCTGCTTTCACTTCATTTTTAGAGACACTACCAAATGCGCAAGAACTATCCCGGGTTTTACGTAGGGTATCATATTGACAAAAGTAATTAAGTGGCGCAGTGAAGTTATTTTCCCTCGAGAGATGTTGACATTCTCTGCGTGTGTATCAATATCAGACACAATACGGGCAATCGACATGGACAGTCAACGTGTTTGCTTGTTCATTGCGTGTTTGTTTGTTCATTTCCCCCATACTCAACACGTTTGGTTTTGTTTGTCGCTAGGAAAACAAACAAACAAGCAAACAAAAAAACATTTCTTTGCGCATAATAAAAAGCAAATAAGAGGGGCGTTGCCACCAACGTGACCGATCGGCTATACTTTGTAACAAAATACTAATTATTATTTTTAGAATCACGCATTAATTATCTGTGTCACAACACATTTCGCTTTCTTTATTTTTTCCAATTCATGTTACTCACTGAGATTCAAGAAGAACTAAAGTAGTACGTGTATACAAAATTGAAGAATCAGTAAACTGTCACTTTCTCGCGACTGCACCTTGGATCCAGGTGCACCCATGATCTTATTGGTGAAATGATTATATGTGTTTCTATTGTTTAAATAACGATTTTTAAACAAATTAATTCATATATTAATAACCAACCATCGCTTATTTTATTTATTTATTTATTTACTAACAGTCGTGAATTAGTATGCGCCCTGGAGAATATGGACGGTATCAAATGAGCTGTTTCAAAAAAGATGAAATAATGGGTAGTGCTACATTCCATGATCAAAAGGTGTTGCTTAACTTTTGTTTTCATGTCAGAGTTCCAATCGCAACATGAGCAATAACAGATATTACTATTTACTACAAATGCGACCACATGGCAGAATTATAATCAACTTTTAGAACCCCTTCCCGCTGATTGCGTCATAGAGCCTCTCCCTGTCATGTTGGAGTCCACGGCCGTTTTTATCCGAAGACAGTTTTAATTGAGGGTAAACACACAAATACAAATTATGTTTTCCAACCGCAATTCGATGTTGGGGGAAAGTCGTTCAACTAATAAAACAAGTGGAGTTTGTAGTGGTGTGCCGTACGTATTCTCGGTATGTTGCAAAATCGCTAAATAAATAGGTTGCGTGACATCCGGTATATTCCCACATTCTCTAAATGATTACTTAGATTATGTTCTTCTTGTGCTCGAAAAAAAAAGTCAATATTTCAAAATATGTTGAATCATCTTATAATGTCTTCTTTGTCGAGTGCATGTTTTGAATTTGTGGTTCCCCCGTACATTTCATGGATCGGGGCGCAGGTGAGATAGCCAACAGACAGGCAAGTTCATGAGAGAGATATCTAGAGTCCCCTATTATGGGCCCCAGCGAACAAACGATGAAATATGTCTACTAAACGCGAAACATGATGTTTAAAAATGAGAATCTTTCTTTAAACTACAAATTGTTCAAATGGCTGAGTTATATAGAATTCTTGACTAATTAGTGACAACCCAATCAGTTATTTAACTAATTAACTTAATTAATCCGGGCATGCGCGTTGGGAATGAGTGAATTCGGAAGTGGTCAAGATGGCGGCGATCGTATCGGGATGAAATGGAGTTACCATCGCGGTTGCGGTTTTGTTCATCTTGCAAGACCATTTCGTGGTTAATTTTGCTTCCGAAATGTTGATGTGATATCAGAATTATCGAGGAACGTCGGGAATCTTTTTATGTGCACGATTCTCCGTTTTCGCCGTGATTTTGGATGGTTTTCACCGTTTTCAAGGCAGCGATTGGCCAGGGAGAGCCCCGCTTGCGTGTTATCGACATCAGAGGAAACGATCGTGGGATTACCTCGCGATCGCTCTCTGGATTAAGGATTTTTCATGAAGAACACCAGGGAGAGGTTCTCATGTGTTAAAATATGACCCTTGGATGTTACAATGGGAGTTCTGTGGCAGCAGAAAGGCCTTATCAGGAAGTACTACAAAGATGGCGACTCAGCCTAGCATCCTTGCTATTTTTCACTATACTCCTTAGCAATCACGATCTTTGCCACATCTTCGCGTGGCAGACTTGTTCAAGCCCTTCAATATCGGAATATTTTGAGCGATTTATTCAACTACCCCCTAGTAATGATACAGGTTGGGAGAATCAGTGTTTTCACTTCTCCGATGATTTAGTGATGGACCTGTGTAACCAAACTTTAACACACAGAACACAGCTTCTACAATATATTCAAGACAACGTCAGGTTACGTTTTTGTACATCCATTCCGTTTTTGAATTTATTTTCCAATTCTAAGGAAAATTGTCTAACTCTGTCGGATCCCCAGGAATGTAGCGTTTGTATGCACACACTTCAACAGAACGACAGTGCGGTGAGAACCATGTTTGGCTATTTTGCAGATATACTTGACCGGTACGACTGCAACGATTCGTTTTCTGTACTGTGGCAATGTGAAGACTGCTTGGTGAGTATATAGTGCCGACGCTCTTTCCTTTCCCTCCCCCTACTCTCTTCTTCCCTAGCTCATTTTCGTCTTGTTATTCGCAGCAATGTGCGTCGACACGTATTTTATCAGTTTCTTGTAAACAGTTCCATTGATCTTCGTGAACGCAGCACAAAATATTGTTTTGTGTCGGCCATCATCTTCTCTGTTTTTTTTTTAATTGAACCGAGCCTAAAGCTGAATTGCTTCGTCGGTCTAGGTATTCCCAACGAACGCGACGCAAGACCAGCTACTGGCTTACAGCTGAATCACCCAGTTTTGATACATAAATCATATATTTTCACGCTCTGCCAGTCATTGAAAAAAAAGCATCTGCAAATTATTTTTCTTTTAAGGGTCCTTGGGGTATGATATTTCTCGTGGAAGAGTAAGCCACTGTGCGCCCTGCTATCTCGTATGTAATCGGTGATAGCCACTTTTGATAGCTTCAGATGACATCGTATTCCAAGCTCAGGAAACTCCCCATTGGTGGGCCTCCGATTATCGCTGAAAATAAAACGGAATATTTTTACTTTGATATCTAATTATACATTAGAGGAGCTTCTTGATTTGTTCAGTTTATACATTTATGATTTTTGTATGAAATAATTGATGTGTATGGTAATTTTTTATTGCAGCTAAGTGGTCATATATTTCATTGACTCCCATGACAGGTTGAATTCACACAATGTATTTATAACATATTATAGATAAATAGAAAAAAAATAGAATAAAATGAATATTAAGGCCAACCAACCACCCCACCCCATCCCACCCCACCCCCCCAATTAACATGCGAGTGTATAATGTATCAGTATAGTATTGTAGTGTGTGTTTTTCTGGGTAATCTGTGTTTGCTTTATTGAGGTTTGTGTGAGATGTGGAACTCATTTATACAGGTCGTTGCTAGCAAGGTTATTTGTATGTCATCCGGAATTTTGTAACGTGGATGATTTTGAGCACAAGCAAAGTAAACAATATTAAATCCTGTTTTTTATTTCCCTTTAATTAAACATCAACTGGAAATGGAGGCCTTTGTTGTTCACACTTGATTAGAACTGAGTTAGTGATTAGAACTGAGTTAGCGATTAGAACCGAGTTCCTGAATGAATGAATGTAGTATTTATTTACTTTTGTGTGTAGCATAATTTTGACAAGTCTGTGATATGATTATAGTGACTACAGACAATTCACTCTATTCTTTATGGGTTTTATGGTAGGTTGGGGTGTTAAGTTTTAATTAAATTACTAAGGCCCTTTCCTCCTAGTTTACCAGGTTTCATTTAGTATTCCTTCTTGATCTGTGGTTTTATTTGGCTCAACATACTGTAATATAATTATAATCGTTAATCTGAGCAATTTAAATCATGATACAAATCATTTCCCAAGTTGCGATCCAACATCCATATTTTTCTGTGGTCATCTGGCATTTTTGGATGTGATGTGGTCATCTGGTGTGGGGATGTCTATATAGGGATGGAGTGGGGGTGGGGGTGGCTGTAGGGGTGGTGGTGATGGTGATGTGATCACATAATGGTACTGCTTCTGTCAGTGTCAAAAACAAAATTCCTTAAAATGGTAATGATGAAATGTACGATGTAGGTAGATATGCATGATGATGATTATTATTACCGTATTATTAATATCATCGTCATGTGATACATTTAGTGATAATGTCAATTATGTACCTAAAAAAGGTCAAAACGTTGTGTGCGTACCGTGTACCTCAGTGTTTGCTGTTATCCCTTGAATGCTTGCTCATATCCATGGACCGGACCCAGCTGGGGGAGGAGATCATATTTCAGGCGATCATATCATAATGATCATACATAATATAATCTGTTGTAAAAGAATTTATTTTTCGACTAGGTTTTCATCTTTGTCTTTATTAAATCTGTTACTGTAAAATACTTTTATTTTTGTTTGGAACTCATTTTCGCTGAAGGGATGGATGATTCGTTGAAAATAAAATCTAGCGATTATACCTTGTTTCCTATATTTTACATTCAGCTCAACAAAATCAGTGCAAATAAACTCAATAGCAAAACACCCAGAAAGTCTTTTTAGTGAAAATTAATTCCAGCTAAAATAAAGTATTTTACAGTATTAAAATGCATTTGCTTTTCAACTTTCATATATGCATTGCACAACGTTTTATGAGAACGCATTTGAAAATATCAACACGAACGATTAGTTATGGCAGGCTAATCTTAATTATAAACAAATTATTCCTGTTTGTCATTCATTCTCATTCAGTCCATGATGCACAAGAATAGTGTGCAGATTTGTTGTTGTCATTTTCATTAAACTCTTAGGGGGCCTTCTTTCATTGATATGCTAATCTTGCCTCAGTATTGTTTTTAATTATCACATGTTGTAATTGCTTCACAGTTGCAGTTCAAACAACATCTCATGTAATTTCCCTTCACTGTTAATAGTTTCAGTACACTGCATTTGGCTTTGGCATTGGATACAAATAGTGATGAAAAACAGATGGAAGAGAAATAAGAACTTTGAATTATCCCTGTTATGTGCTGGAATGATGTGTGCATAAGAAAGCCACCGCAAATTTAACCTTATGTACAGTAAATTTAACCCTATTTGTTTTTATGGAGGTTGAGGCCGAATGGAGGATTATATGTTATCTTCTTCCTGCATTAAGATACAAAAAAACCACAAAAAACAGGGGTCAGCAGACAATTTTTCGAGTCGGAAATGTATTAGAAAATGATTATTTTTTCATACCTTCAAGTTTTGCTCGGCGACATGGGATAAAAAGTCATTAATATATAATATGAGTATTATCTGTCACTGTGCCGTAATTTTGCGGTATTTTACGAGGTATTTTCATCCTACCATATTAGGAAATGCGAATTCCAAATATGGAATGATTACGCGCCTAAGCGTCCTCTAATAAAAAACAAACATGGCTGCCACCAGGGTTTGACCGGACTCCATACAGTTCTTCGCTGATTCTGTTCTAACCTTTTTAAATTTCTGCATTCCCATGATGTATCCTTGGAAGGAAAAGATGTATAATAATAAGGTTATTACAAAGATACCTCAAAGTATGCACTCAGACAGTACTCTGTCGCATCGACCTTCGCTGCGAGTCGGACGATACTGCCGCTGTACACTTTGAGGTATCTTTATAATAACCTTATATTATTATTGATGTTAATTCTAATATTGTGAAAATATTCCAAAAATTTACATTTTATTTAGTTCGTTACATGTGATATAAAATGTTTTCATTACTAATATATACCATGGGAATTTATCTCCCACAATGCATTGCACATGTGTGCAGTAACATGGTCAGTAGCGAAAAATTTGAATTTGTTTTGAACTGCTTACAGTTCAGAATTTATACAGTAATATTTTTTTAGATCGTACAAATAAAATTACATAGTTTGGGTCAACCAACACAACATAATTGGTACCTAATATTTTTTTGGTTGAATGATACAATATTATTGTGCGAAAAAGGGGGCACCGAATGAAATATGTGATTCATTTAATATGGATCCCTTACCACGCTCGCAACCCCCTCCAGTTTACAAAATGAAACCATGTTGATGAGAAAGTAAATTCTGTGCACAATCGATCTTGCACAGATTCCACCTACTTGCCTTATTTTTGAATGACCTGTGACCAAACAAAAAATTTGTTTGGTCAATTAATTAAAATTGTTATTGATATTTTCTATCCAGTTCCTAAAATAGTCAGTTGAAGAAAAGGGCCCCCTCAACTGTGTATAAATTTTCCTGTTGTAGGCTTCCAGTGAAATGTAGGGGTTGGACCTTTCTTGTTTTCTTGCTATTGCCTTTTGTGGAATTTTCATGCGTGTCACACAGTTTTATTCAAATCATCATGGCTAGTTGTGAAATATCCTGCAACTATGTATAATTTTTTTAAAACAAACAGGTTATGGCTGATATATGATTTATGGAAAAATGTACTGTAAGACCTTGAAATGTTTTGAATCAAATTGCAAATTTGGTCATGCACAATGTTGATTGTATGCTTTGTACATCATCGCTGTACAAGCTTGCAAGAGTCCAATGTTGTTGACCGAAAGGTTTCGCACCAGTTAGAATTTGTATCAAAGTATAGGTCAAACAGGCACCCACGAGTGTAATCTGGTCTATTTTGAAAACAGCTTTTTGCAAGTGATGGTGTTTCAAACTGATTTTTGTTTTTTAATATGTTACTAGTAGCTTCGCGATGAGTTGCTGTCGCGGTGAGTGGCTTTCGCAGTAACTGGTCCTTTTACCGGAGTTGAGAATTAATGTTTTATGTGTCTTTAACAACTATTGCTAATCTGGTTAATGTGGTACCAGAAAAGATTTGATTTGAGCCTTGAAATTGTGTGGCGGAATTTTTTGTGCAAACCAATTTTGTTTGATTGAAATGATGAAGGTATTTTAGCATGAGTACTTAACTGTGCCATCTTTTTCCACTTTTTCAATGCAAGTGTTGTTGAATCTTTTTCATCATTTGAGACTTTCATCAATTTTTACAATTTTATTTTACAACTTACACTGTATTTGTCGTCATCTTCTTTGTGTTCATTGTTATAGGTTAATAATTTTCGGACACCAAAAGTGAAGAAAAGTCATTGGGGTCACAGGTAAATTTTTCAAGAAATTAGTCCGAAATGTCATGAAAAAGGATCAAAATTTCTAAAAAATTAACATTTAATTTAGGCAGTTTCCAGTGTGATGATGGTTTTCTATTATATACATTGCACAAATGTGCAGTAATATGCTCAATAGTGCAAAATTTGATTGAGAATCAAACTGTCCTAAAAACTGGACAAATTAAATAAGGTATGTGATTAATTTGCTGTATGTTTGAAAAGTATTGCTTTTTAATGTTTAACATTGTTGTGTATTGGAAGTGTCATTGCGGTATGAAATCAAACATGGCTGAAACCTAAAAATGGTTGATTAGAGCGAGTTCAACTTTTTGATCTACGA